GGTATAGGTAGTTCTGACCTTCGCGAACAATTTTCTCTTAATAATGGAAGTCGATTTCATTTGACTAAAATGCCGTAATTACGCTCCAAAATTAATAAACGAAAAAAGCAAATTTAAAATTAATATAATTATAAAAATATGCGCGTACTCCATAAGTATTACTCCAATTACTATGAAAATTTATATTCTAGTAGTTTTGGCATCGCTAAACAACTTTCTCTTAATAAAGAAGTCGATTTCATTTGGCTAAAGTGGTAAAATTACACTCCAAAGTTTGACGAAAGTAAAAAGAAAAAATTTAGGAATAAATATATTATGAATTATATAAAATACCTATATCTTCATAAAATACAGGTAATAAAAACTGAGACAAATGTATTTAATATGTGTTAATTTGTAAATTTACAAAGTTTTAAAATTTTTTTAAAGAAAAATTTTTTATATACGTATATATAATTTATTTACACAAGTATCGTTATACAAAATAAAGATCTAAAGATTATCACTGTTATACAAATACATATCTGACTTACCGAAAAATTACTAACAGGCTATACAAAATCAAACATATGACTTATTGGAAAATTATATAATAAGTTTATACAAAACTGGATCCCAGTGTTATATGTATTGTTCGGGGTCCTATTTCGGCATGGGTTATAAAGGTAAGTTGGGGGAAAGGTATTTTTGTTTTTTTGTTTTTAGGAACGTAATTAACGTTCCTTTTGCTTCTTTTTTTTAGGGAGACACCTTCTTGGACTTCTAAATCTTAAACTTTTTATAAATATTGTGTCAACTAATTTGTTAAAAATCATTTGTAATAATGTAAAAATAAATACTATGTTTATTATTATAAAATTCTAATTGTTAATTAATATTAATAAAAAGTATTAAGTAGAAAAAACTGAATTCAGATTCACCGGATTCACCGGATTGACCGGATTATTCAGATATCCGGTCAACCATCCAGTCAAATTGGTGAGCAAGTATTGACCGGATATCCGATGATCCATCCGGTCAATCCGATGAATCATCCGGATCAATCCGAATCCGGTCAAATTTCGGATGGATGACCGGATATCCGGATTGACCGGATTCAGAGCATACCTCTATATGGGTTGTTCTTTTGGTACGTTTGGTTGGGCGGGGATTTTGAATTGGGTCTGGAAGAGAATGAATAGCTAAGTAAAGGGAAAAGGGATGAAAGGAAAAGGAAAGAATGAGGGAGAGATGAAGGAAAGTACAAAGGGAAGTGAAAGGGTGAACGAACTGAAGGAAAAGGGAAGAATGTGAAAAAAAAGCAAAAAAAAAGTTTTAAAAAAAAAGTTTAAAAGAAAAAAGTTGATTGAAGTCATCGAACTGCAAATTATATCACATACTGACATACACGTGATACATATTTTTATAACGTGAAAATCATTACAAAAGTAGTCTGAAGAGTATTTTTTCAACTACACAAAATAGTGAAAGCGATGAATAATTAATTATACAAATTTATAAGTTTCATATGAATTTAATAAATTGAAAAAATTGTACAAATTTTGTTTAAATGAATATAATAATAATAGTTATAAATTTAAAATATAAAAATTGTACAATTTCTGTTTATTAAATGTAATAAATCTTACAATAATTGTACATTTAAATTTTACAAAAAAATAAAATTTGATTTAACTATACAAATACTGAATGAAAATTGGACAATAATTACAAAAACTAAACAAAAATTGTACAATTTCCATATGATGACTTTTTACTGGGAAAGTGAATTATAATACCATAACTCACTTATATAAAATTATAGTTTCAGATCAACAGGTCATTCAGGTTATGTATTAGTTATTTACTAATCTAGTAGTATATAAATGGGCGGGTTATCATCTGAAGGATGATGACCCATTTATATATTAAACTAGATCAGTAAATAACTTTTTTATCATCCTGGATATACTAATTGGTCCGCCAGTTTATAACTGGCAGAAAAAATCCTATATACCAATTAGTAGCCAGGTGATAAATTTATGTTACAACCTGAACTGATACTGAATTGCAATTGCTAAATCTGACCTGATAAATTTAGGTCAACCTGTCAGGTTACCTGAATTTGGTCAACCTGTTCAGAACTCTAAAACAAACTAAATAAATAAACATAGGAAAATTTGAAAATTTTAGGCAAAATTTAAAGGGAATATTTATTACTATATGTTTATTTGCTTTTAAATTTTTTTAAAAATAAAGGAGGTATTTAATAATATATGTTTATTAAATCTCAAATTTTTTGAAAAATAGAGGGAGATGAAAGACATTAAACAAATAATCAAATTGGAACGGCCTAATAAGCAAAACATCTATATCTTTAAATAATGATAGCACTGTCAATATTAATGCTATCGATATGATCTTATCATCATTTGAATCATCTTAAATAAATCTTTCAAATGAGCTATAGATCATTAAAATTGGATGATTAGAAGTTGAAATATTCTCAAACACTTTTGTTATTTTTATGATAATTGAAGATAGTCATTTAACATTTTAATTTGGCTTAATTCAACTATTTTGACTTTTGAGAGTTAAGATCAAATTAATTTTATCCATTTTGATTATTTTAAAAATCGATATTAACTTAATTTTGGAGATAATATCTTAAAAATCCTAAGTGACACAGTAAATAATAAAGAAAAATGCTAATATTTTGACATTTTGACATATTATTCCTTATTCCGTTTGTGTTAGAAGGGAGCTGAGATAAAACAGCGACAATTTTATGTCATGATTTCTTTTAATCGAGAGTGAGAGAGCATGGCGTAATGCGTAAACAAGTGGAATAACAATAGATCGCTCACTGTTTATCCATGAAATGTTGGATGGAGAAAGCATCATCATAAACGATACGAGCTTGTTGGACTTTAGCATTTGCACGTGTATGAAGATGACAGGATTGTATATTACCATACTTTTTGAAAAGAGCAATGATATCATCTTTTTTGATGAAAAAAGGGATGTCAGTAACTTGAATAGCCTGGAGATCTTCATCAGTTCGGAGTTGCTGTAGGTCATGTAGGAAAAATTGGAGATTGGCAAGATCATCATGTCGGAGAGAAAGGCAGGCATCACATCACGTTCAGTAGTTGAATTAAAATGAATGACTAATCTTTTGAGATCATCAGAACCAGACATGCGAGCACGGCCAGTGTAAGAGTAATAAGTTTCCAAAAGGAAATTATTAACAGCGTCAATCATAGCCCGATTGGTAAGATATTTTTTGACAAATTCAGGGGAAGTATTAGGCACCGCAGCAGCCTGATAATCACGCCTAAGAATGGAAATAGTGGGCGTGTCAAGGGAAAGAGGAGAAGTATCATTGGTATCCATAATATCCTTATTAGGAGACACGTCTAAAGGGAAGTTTCTTTGTCTTTTGGAGCATGCATAGACATGCCAGTATCAGACGTGACAGAACCAGGCGCAGAAGGCGCAGTAGTATCTTTAGGAGGAGAAGACGAAAAATT